CACACACACACTGTCTCAGGCTAGAGGACCTAATGGTCAGATCCAGATATCCTCAAAAAATACATCACTCACTACTTGTGAAATACATAGCTGAGTGGGTGGACTGTCTCAGTATAATGATATTAAGAACTGGTGGTCATTTCATAGGAACTATTGTTATACATTCTATACTGTGGGAATGACTCCTGCACAAAGGACCCCACTTAACAGAGATGATCTCTGCTCAATGGTCCTGAAACCGGTCCCGGTTGCCCAGCGTGGCCACGTCTTTGACCCAGAAGAGGTCTTGACTCCAAAGAGGCCTTTGGCTGTGAAATGGATGGCTTACCAAAGTCTAAGAGTTGATCCGGTCTGGTAGAGAGGAGATAAAAAGAAGAGTGGCTTCCTGTGTGGCAGGAGATGCAGCGGGAAAAGCACGAGTCTTATTGCCCAAAGCACCAAGAAGAAAGGTATTTGCTGACACAAACCCTTATCTTTCTCACCAATTGGACTCCTGGAGCTCCACCTGGGGCCTGGCCGTGGATCTCTGCATCTGGTTCCCTCAGTTGTTGGATGGGGTTTCTAGCATGGCAATTAGGGTGTTTGGCCATCCTATCACCAGAGTAGGTCAGTTCGGGCTGTCTCTTGACCATTACCAGTAGTGTATTGTGGGGGTATCTTTGTGGATTTCTGTGGGCCTCTCTAGCACTTTGCTTCTTCTATTTTCATGTGGTCTTCATTTATCATGGCCTTTTATTCCTTGTTCTCCCTCTCTGTTCTTGATCCAGCTGGGATCTCCTGCTCCCCTAAGCTCTCTTTCCCTTGACCCTTGCCCTTCATTGCTCCCACTCACATCCATGTTGTTCATGTAGATCTCATTCATTTTTCTGTCATTCGGCAATCCCTATGTCTTTCTTAGGGTCCTGTTTTCTAGGTAGCCTCCCTGGAGTTGTGAGTAGCAGTCTAGTCATCTTTGTTTTACATCTAGTATACTCCTATGAGTGAGTACATACCATGTTTGTCTTTCTGAGTCTGGGTTACCTCACTCAGGATGATAGCACAGGGACAAATAGTCAAACGAATGGAAACACATGAACTATGAACCAATAGCTTAGGAGCCCCCAACTGGATCAGGCCCTCTGGATAAGTGAGACAGTTGATTAGCTTGATCTGTTTGGGAGGCATCCAGGCAGTGGGACCGGGTCCTGTACTCAGTGCATGAGTTAGCTGTTTGAAACCTGGGACTTATACAGGGACACTTGGCTCAGCCTGGGAGGAGGGGACTGGATCTGCCTGGACTGAATCTATCAGGTTGAACTCAATCCTCAGGGGAGTCTTTGCCCTGGAGTAGATGAGAATGGGGGTGGGCTGGAGGGAAGGGGATGGTGGGAGGGGGGAAAACAAGGGAATCCATGGCTGATATGTAAAATTAAATTAAATTATAAAATAAAATAAAATAAAATAAAATAAAATAAAAAGAAAGGTATTTGTATCCCGTTAAAAGGTTTCTCTGCCGACGCAGTAAGCCAGATCAAGCTGAATTCATAGTAAATTATTGGTCAAAGAACACCCAGTGACCTTTCCAGCTCCCAGAGGTGAGGCATGGGAAGGGAGCAGGAAAAATGACATGACCACACTGAAGGAGGGGTCCCCAAAACCCTGCAGGCACTGGGTGGGGTGATGACGAAACCTACACAAGCTGGGCCCATGTCCCACCATGGTAGGCAGGGTCCTGAGCAGCTTGCAGCCTTAGGGGAGAAGCAGTGTCCATCACAGGAAATGCAGAACTGGGCCCTCTGGTGGTTCTCTGAGAGGGCAGGGACTGGAGAGAGAGAGAACTGGGGCCCAGCCAGAGATTCCAGCCCAATATCCATCAGCAGCCAAGCCCACACACCATTCCTCACACAGGGCACTAGAGCTCTTTGTGCATGTTCTCAGATCTCTTTAGCTCCTGGATCTTCTGGGGCAGAGTCTTGGTCCAGAACTGCAGTCTTCTGGCCTTCAGAGCTCGGCTCACAGCAGGCTTGATGTTCAGCTGCAGGTACTGCTCATCATGCTCAAACATGGGCCAGTAGGGTAGACCTTCACTGTTGGGGTTCCTGTGGATATGCCAGCCAGTGGGGAAGGGTGAGGTCACTCTGATCCAAAGTCTGACCCTCTGATTTGGGTCATGGCAGTGGTACAGTTAGGCTGGTGTTTAAAGGGGCTGATGGGATGAGTGTCCAGATGTAGAGATACAAGAGTCACCCACTAGTTTCTGCTTCATATGGGGGAAGACTACTTGACCTGTTTTATGTCTACATGTAAGAGGCAAAATCTAAAGAGCTGTCCACTATGGCTCATGATCCAGGTCACTGTGAGATGACCAGTAACAGACACCTACAAAGTAGATGTATAAATGTGCTATCTAGTAGAGAAGAAACTATAATATGATGGAAGATCCGTGAATGCTAAAGAGACAACCACCCCAAAGGGAGACCTACAGGGACTCAAATATCTCTATAACCCATATAGAGAAGGTTGAGAGAGTGGTGTGTTCTCACCCATATCTTGCAAAGTTGGTCCAGTACTTCATCATCCTCCTGTTCAATAGCTCTTCTTCCTCAGTGAGGACAACTGGAGTCATGAGAAAAATAAATGTTGAAGTCCATGATGCCTCACCCAACTGTCAAACCATGCCTCACACTCACAGTCCCAGCTGCTGTCAGAACTGTAACTATCAGCTTTGTTACCTCCCTTCTTCACTATACACTACCCAACATCCACACATGCCTCTAATTGAATTCATGCCCCAGTGTGCTGTCATCTCCATCACAGGCTAGACTGGGACAGGCCCAGATTCTAATCTTGGTCTGATTTTTTGGGATATAATATGGTACAAATTTGATTTCTATCATCTCCCAGAACCTAGTTTTCCTCAAACAGACTAAGAGCTCAGGAGTCCCTGAGGTGTCATCTGAGACCTCCATCAGCTCAAGGAGAATTAGGAAGACTCACGTTTCATGCCAAAGAAGAAGGATCCAAAGACAAAAGGAACCTCATCAGCATGGTCAGCCTTCACATGGGGTGGCCTGATACTCTTGAGGAAGCTGGATTGATGTTGGAATTCATAGAAGTAGACAGGGTTGTGGGAACCTGGAGGTGAGGATGATGAGTGACTTAGTGGCCCCTCACCTGGAGTTTTTCTGATACATATTTGGTGACAAGGTACCTCGATCTAAAGTTACCTGGAATCATAAATGTTAAAGAGGAGAGGAAGTTCTAAGCTGGAGCACTAGCTGTGGAAAATGCCATGGCAAAACAGTGCTCATGGCCTTCCCAGCTGAGTGGTTATGTCAAGTCAATAGATTATCAGCAACTCATTTTCTGTTCTGTACCTAGATGTCACTCTCTATATCTAGACATGAGACCTGTATTTTACACTGCTCCACAGTGCTTACCAGTGACCTACATCTCTGAGCTGCTCCCTTAAGCCTTGTTACAGAGGTACTCACGCTGAAAATGTGCTACTTGGAGTGCAGGGATCACAAACGTGAAGTCCCCCATCATCTCTGTAAACTGTATTTGGAGGGCTTGGGGATCCTCTGTGTCCCCCATGTACTCTTCCACTAGCAGGTCAGCACACTCAGGAGGCAGCATCTACTCCAAGGAAGAATGAGGTTAGGCATGTGGTTGGTTACATAGGCAACAGCCTTTGGTATGGGAGAATAGGGCCTGTGATGAGATAGGGTGTAGATAAAAAGATTCATGGTCTGAGGTCACCCCACACAGAATCACATATATATACTGACTTTCATTAATAGGGATGCTGTCTGAGGAGATATAAGGGACCTTTCTTTTTGGATAGGACCAGATGTATCTTACCATTTGTGCTGCTGTATTCTTCAGAACATCCTGCAGGTTCTCTCTGGTTATTTCCTTTATTGTTTGAGCAGAGCCCATGACCTGGGAGATAGAAATGTGGGATCTGATGGACTTGGATTAGAGATGTATTGAGTTCCCAGTACTTAACATATGAGTCTCCAGACTCCCAGAGGGTTGGAATTGAGTCTCACCATGGGGAGGATCCAACTATACTCATCATTGTTGACACCTATGATGCTGGGGACAGGGTGAAAATCCACAGAGGCCAACAACTCTCTGGGATGCCTGGGTAGGAATACCCCATCCACCACAGCAGGGATGATCTTGAAGACCTGAGAGGCAGTAAAAGTTAATGCTGAAGGTCAATAAAATACATATGCTGATCCAATGAGTTACTACCACCATTTTATCATGTCTTACTAGCCTCAGGGTGCTAAGCTCATTCTGGAAGAGAATCTACACTTGGATTAGCCTATCTTGGTGTTCATATTGTACACAGAACTAGTGGACACAAAGTCTGACTAGATCTTTTAAGACATACAATTCTACCTACCTTATTAATGACCAGAATCTCTGCTTCACTTTTGCCTCTCAGACAGTGCACCAGGGCCTCTGAGTCCTTTTCCTCACATCCAGATAGGTTGGCCACCGTCTATAAAGGGAACAAGTGGGGTGAAGAGTTCTCTCGACTCCAACTTGATGTTATTGGCCTAACTACCACACTATAGTGTGTGTTGTGTGTGGTTTGGTATAAATATAAATTGTTAACTTTGCCGTATTCCTCAAAGCAAGCAGTATACTTTCAACCTGCATACTTGAATTTTTTTTTTTTGGCCTACATTAGTTCTGTTTACTCTACCCATCTTTCTGTGTTTTGTGTATAAGAGAAGGACTAAGTGTGCCAAAGTTTGTATGTGAATGTAAGAGGACATCTCCTTTTTTCACAGATGTTCCCTTATTTGAGACAGGCGGTCTTCTTTTATTACTGCTTCTATGCTAACTGAAATGCTCTGTGAACATCTAGGGATTCCCATGTTTCTGCCTTCCACCTGACCACAGGAACATTGGAATTACAGATATTACTATCTCCAGCCTTTTGTGGGTCTAGGGATTTGAACTTAGGTTCTCAGGCTTGCACTTCCAGCACGTTAAAAAACCCACAGGGTTACCTCCCAAAGCACACTCCTATTTATTTTCATCAGTAATGTAAGCTGCTAGGAGCAGTTTGCTGTCATCCAGTATGAAGTAGAGGTGAGTAGAGGCAAACCCTTGAGTTTCTCAAATATTACTGGAAAGAAATTGTTTCCCATCATCATTGTTTCCCCCACTGAACAGAAGACCAGAGTACCAGACCATGCAGGCTGAGGGGACAGACTAGGGTGCTGGGGGATGTCTTTCTGTACACTGTGAATATGTGTAGCTCTGATTGGTTGATAAATAAAACTGTTTGGCCAATGGCAAGGCAGAATAAGGTTAGGCAATACATAAAACTGAAGATGGAAAAAAGAAGTATGGAGTCAGAAGAGATGCCAGCCCACTGCCTAAGGAGCAACAAGATGCCAGCAGTCCAGTAATGCCATAGCTATGGGAAAACATACAAATTAATAGGAATCGGTTGAAATAAGTTGAAAGAGCTAGCTAATGTAAGCTGACCAATAGGCCATACAGTTTGTAAGTAATATAAGCCTCTGTGTGTTCACTTGGGACCAAGCAGCTGTAGGACTAGGAAGGACACAGAAAAACTTCCAACTACTTAGGGTTGTGATGGTTAAGGGCACTTACAGTGTAGACCATCTCATGGGTGTCAGAGATAAGGCCAGGTAGCAGGACCACTCCACTCTCCATGATGGCTCTGTGGAAGAGTCCTTTGGACATGGGAGACACAACATGTGAAGACACACTTGCACCACCTGCTGACTCGCCAAAAATAGTGACCTGGTCAGGGTTGCCTCCAAAGTGGGCAATATTCTGCTGGACCCAGCGTAGGGCGGCCACTTGGTCCAGGAAGCCCCAGTTGCCTCTGGCATGCTGGTCTCCAGTGCTGTGAAGTAGAGAGGCATGGATCAAAGGGCTGTCTAGGTTCTCCTCAGCTGCTTCTATTTAGCTCAGCCCTAGGCTCACCTGAAAAAGCCCAGAACACCTAGGCGATATTGGATATGGACCACCACGATATCCTCTGAGGCTGCCAATATGGATCCATCAGTAATGGAAGCCATTCCTCCAACCAGAGCACCACCATGGATCCACACCATCACCTGGAGAAGTCAATAGAGATGCCAGGAAGCTCCTAGCTACCAAAGCTCTGCAGGACTGTTTATTAGAGTATCAATCAACTTCTGTGCTTCTGTCTAACTACACAAATATGTAGAAATCCTCAGCACTTCAGGGCTTTAGTGATGGCTAGGGGCCTCTAGTAGCCCCATCAAGTTGTTTCTAGCTCCCATCCCCACCATATATCTCAGTTTGAATGAATGATTCTATGTATACAGTAATGTTATCATTTCTCAGGCTCTTCACAGTGAAACAAAGAGGGGTATCTTCATGGATATTTCTCCAGATTAAAAATGGAAAGAATCATTAACTCTCATCGGCACAACAGATATCCTAAAGGAAGGAATGGGTGACCTCAATGTGGATCCTTGAGCACCTAAGCAGTTCTGCAGGGCTAGGGTTGGAGAATGAGTCCTGTTTTTTTCAAATAGCTAGAGCCTTTGATCACTCAGTGCTCCAGTGCTTTGTGTCCCTTACCCAGGTTTCATCTGCATAGTGTGGTTGAGAAGGCCTATTTTTTACCCAAAGAGGGCAAGGCTTTTCAACAGAGTCCATACTGCAATGGAGCTTTTGTTCCCCCTTTTTGTTATCATCATGAAAAAATACCCTGTCCCCAAGCTGACCATGACTTGACACTCACAGGTAGGTTAGAGCCCTCATGGGCATGAGCTGGAGTGTAGATGTTGAGATGCAGGCAGTCCTCAGACATAGAGATGGGAGGCAATGTTAGTTTCATATCCTTTAGGCCCTCTGCATTCATCATTTCAAGGCTTTGCAGACACCTGATGGAAATAGCAGACAGATATTCCAAAACCAAATGTGAGTCTGGATTTTTTCTCAATCACCTTCAGCTGCTGCTCTTCATGATTTCCTGTTAACACATATTCCCTCTCTAAGGTCCCTTACAACTAAAGTAAAGGCCACAGACTCCATAAAAGCAGAATGGAGCCAGAATTCCAGAAAGTCCTCTACTAGTCTAAGCCTTGGATGTTATCTTTTCTGAGTCTTGGATATAGATACTTCCAGGCATCTCTATGGAATGACTGTCTGTATGTGGTGACATATAATGAATTGTATAAGAACAGAAAAGTGAACTAAGCATTAGCAGGCATGAAAGCATTTTATACTCTCTGTTCCAGGCTGTGGATGAGATGTGACCAGCTCCTGTAATTTTCCTTCACTGTGAATTCCCCCATACAATGAATTATAATCTGGAGCTTATAATGGTAGCTTCCTCCCCTAAGTTCCTTTTGCCAGTATTTTATTACATTAAAGACAACAAACTACGATTGCAATATTGGAGTGTTGTATCCATAGGTACTAGAGGATTCAGTGGACATACTGCCTAAAGGGTGGTGAAAAATTCTTCATCCCCTGAATATAGAATCTCAGGGAACTTCTTTTTCCTACACTGTCTCCAGAGGCAATTAGTTACATATCCTTGTTCCTTGGTCAGTGACACTTGGCCCTTTAGGTTGTCATAGTGACTGTGAGTGTGGGGTTAGCAAGTATCCATAATGCTACACTCCTCAGGATCTGAAGTGTATTCTACTAGATTCAGGGGCACTTTCTGCTTAATAGGTCAAAACACATGCCTAGAGATCCCTCCCATTGTGGCAGAGAACACTGGGCTCAATCTGAATCTGTGAACAATTTTATCTTTGTTCCTGTCTATAGTACCTGCATCCAACTCCCTATGCCAAGCTCTGCCTAAGGAGATTGGCAAGGTTATTCTACTCAGTTTTACTACATGCATCAGAAAAATGCATGGGGGACACCCCACAATGGGAGAAAACTGCTACAGAGCTGAGATGGAGGAAAGACTTCAGCATGGTTCAGAGCTCAGAGCAAATCTTCACCCCAGGGCCAGACATTTTTTGGGTCCAGAACTTACATGGCTGGATGTGAGGTTCCATCTCTCACACCACTCCATGGCTCAGGGGCTTCAGGGGGAGCAAAGCGCAGTGGTCCTACAGGTGGCTTGGCAAAGGGAATTCCAAGGAAGGTATGGACACCAATTTTGGTGTCCTTCACATGGACAAGGCTGCCTCGGACCTGGCCTGTGTGTGTGTTTCTGATGGGGCTGGCCTCTGATGAGTCCTGACCTATTGGTGGAGAGATGTCATCATGGTTAGTTTTGTGCAATCAGTTACCACAGATTGTGAGAGTTCCTATCTCGCTGTTACCAGGGCACACAGGAAGGAAACCCAGGACCTCCCAGTTCATCTATGAGGTTTGATTGAGTATAGGAGCTCCCCTATGAAGGGTTCACAACATGTCCCCACGGTCGCATATACCAGGCGGACACTTCCGCCTAGCCAATTCCAGGTCAGGAGAGGCAGTTCCGGGTCAGGGCGTCTCTCCTAACCAGGATACCCGGCGGACCTGGACACCTCCGCCTAGCAAGTTCCGGGTCAAGGCGTCTCGCGTAACCAGGATCTGTGACGTTACATGGCCACGTAAGCGCGCTACGTGACCATGTGATCTACACACATGCGTGGAGTAGTGACGTGACCTGGCCACGCCCCCAGCCGGTTGTAAAGTGGAGCACCATGTTCCCAGTCCCCTCTTCTTCTCCACGCACGTGTCTCTCCCACAGGCCTGTGTACTCTCTATCCCTTTATCTCTAATAAACTCTTATAAGCGGATTCTGTCGTGTTTTGTGACATTTCCTTGCAGGGTAAGAACACAACGCAGCTAAATAACTAACATTTTGGTGCCAAAACTGAGCGGGTGCTTCCGGGCGCCCTGTTCCTGGAAGCCCGCGAACCGGGGAATCTACTCCATACGCGACAGACCGCTCTCCATTCGCCTGAACTGCATCCAACTTGCATCCAACACCGCTTTCTTCGATTGGTGAGTTTCCCCATTTTTTGGCCAGTGTAAACGGTTTCCTGAATCTGTGAGAACGACCGTTGATCATCCTGTGCCTCACATGTATTCTTGAGACCGGGGAACCCCCGACCACGGTCTTCATTGGCTACGGTTGGCCCCTATCGCAGGCCTAACTTTTCTAGCCATCTCCCACGTCTGCAGCCTGAGATATTTCTCGTGTTGGGGCCACCGCTGTTGGTGCGTCCTGGGAGCCACGTGAGGTCGACGGGTTCATCCTCTCGATGGAGGGGCAAACGCCGTCCGGATTCTCGGAGAATCCTTTCCCTCACCGTGGAGGGGACACTGCTTCTGGCTGATGAGTGGAGAAGCAGGCTGTGCCCGGTATCTGCCCTTGACCTTGGGGACGCCTGAGGTCTTGGCTCCGTATCACGTTTATTTTTAATTTTTTTTTATTATTTTTCTGCCTCTGCTGCAGACATGGGAAACAAGGCTTCCAACCCTGTTAGTCCTTCCTCTCCGTTAGGCTGTCTTGTTGAAGCTTTAAAACCTCTCAGTTTAATGCCTTACATAAAGATTTCTAAGCTAACTCGTCTATGTTAAAAAAAAAAAAAACTGGCCAAAGTATGCTTTAAAAAATAACAAAAAAGGGCCGCCGAGTGGCTCCTTGGATCCCGATATTTTGCGGGAGCTATCCAATTACTGTCAGCGTTCAGGCAAATGGAAAGAGTTGCTTTCTTCTTTCTCAATGCTAAACTGTCTCTTCTTGTTTCCTTCTCTCCTGCTCATATGCTCCTAGCTATACATAAACCAGAAAATTCTCTGACTCCGGAATCTCTGACTCTAGATCTTGCTAAGAAACCAATGATTAAACAATTTCAATATATAACTCAATCTTATAGTCTCACCTTTCATGACTCCCTGAGGAGCTCAGGCGGGTATGGGAGCAGGCTAGGACTCATACAGACGAAATTCATCAAACTAACCTTTCACACCCCTCAGGAGCTGAGGCGGTTCCTGACCGAGAGCCACACTGGGACTACAACACCCAGAGTGGCTGTCTAGCCAGAGATAGGTTTATTACCTGTCTCCTGACAGGCCTCCGTAAGGCTGCCCTAAAACCAGTAAATAATTCAGGATAAGGACGAAAATCCATCTCTTGTTCCCCAGACCTTCCAGACTAAAACTTAAGCATCTGGAGAGCAAGGCTTCTGACCCCACAGGCAAAAGAGTCACCTGTGGCATTTAAGGTGTGCCAGGGAAAAGATAAAAGCCCGAAAACAAAATTGCCAAGTGCTGGCACTCGCTGACTTCCAAAAGCTGTTGGGTCCCTGTTTTAAGTGAGGAAACGGCCACGGGCTAGCGAATGCCCTGCCAGGCCATCAACAGCCTTGTTAAAAGTGCTGCCTAGAAAGACAGAGTCAGCTGACTGCTCCCAGGCACCAAGATGCATGGGTACATCAAGCTAAGACCTCCAACAGACCTAGGCTTGGTGACAGACATGGCAGGGAACCCAGAACGCAGCAGGGAAGCGATCTGTTTCTTTCCTTCTGGACACCAGAGCCATTGGCTCAGTCCTGGGAGTTTTGGGATGCCACCTCCTTTATTGTCAGGGTTGGGGGACAGGCTTATCTACCTCAGCAGACACCACCACTTAATTGTATTTTCAGAGGCATCCCTCTCTCACACACATTCTTAGTGGTGCCAAGCTGCCCTGTACCTTTAATGGGGAGGGATCTCCTAGCTAAGGTAGGAGCATCCATTTCTTTTGCTCCACACATTTGCCTCCTCCCAGACATGCCAGCAGCTCTCCTACTTCTCTTCCTAGCCACTAACTCTACAGACTCCAAATATGCTTTTCATATCCTCCTGTTCCACGCTGCTATTTGGAGGGAGCATGGACTTCTCACAGCAAAAGGAGGATCCGTGTCTAACTCAGGCCATATAATGGCCATGCTGGAGGCTTCCCACCTC